TTGCCCGCAACGGGACGGTGCAACGTTGCGCTGGAAGCGCGAGTTCGAGTTGTGGGTTTGCCGAAAACGCGTCCGACTTGAGCACGGGCGCGTTCCGCGCTGCCGCGTCGGCGCGCCGCGCAACGCGCGCGCGTCGCACAACGCGTCTACGCGCGCGCGGATGCGCGCGCCATGCCAGTCGCGCGCGCCGCCATGAAAATCTGGTCGCACCTGGATCGGCGATCCAGGCGGAACCCCTCATGTACATAGAACGCGCCTGGTCGGGGCGGGCATGCCCGCCGTCGGCTGCGAGCGTGCCCATTGCGTAATCGTCGTCGCGAAAGCGCGCGGCTTGTTGCGCGACGCATGAAGTGCGCGTGCACGCAGCGCCGCGAAGTTTAATCGAAAAGCGGCTTGCAAAAAAAAACAAGCGTACGTTTCCATCATATGAATGCAAGACGCTGCCAAAGAATGGCTGGGCGCTTGAAAAGCCCAAAATGAAACGCGCGCGAACTTTTTCGGGCTTATAAATGATGCGCTTGCATGCGCCTCCGCGAAATTCACTCGAAGCAAATTGTACAAACCCAATATAAACTGGTTTCATCAGGATATTACAAGTCCCACAGGTCGGTCACAGAAAAGAACCACACAATTCTTTGAAGTTGCTTTCGATCTTAGGCATCCAATTGTTGCGTTGCTTGCAATATAGAACTCAGGCGCGCGCGCGCGCGCGTCTGAGTTCTGCATTGCCCACCATGAAAATAAACTCATGTCCCGTCGGTCTCCTTAAAGAGCCCCAGGATTTTGAATTTTGTTTTTGGAATAACATGTCGGGATTATATATTGTGGACAATGCAAAACTCTGGCGCGCGCGCGCGCGCGTCTGAGTTCTGCATTGCCCACCATGAAAATAAACTCATGTCCCGTCGGCCTCCTTAAAGAGCCCCAGGATTTTAAATTTTTGTTTTTGGAATAACATGTCGGGATTATATATTGTGGACAATGCAAAACTCTGGCGCGCGCGCGCGCTCATATGAGTTTTGCATTGTCGGCAATTGAAATATGTTGACCTTCCGTCGGCCTCCTTAAAGAGCCCCAGGATTTTAAAATTTAGTTTTTGGAGCAACATGTCGGGGTTCTATGTTGTGGACAATGCAGAATTCGGATGCGCGCGCGCGATCGCGCGTAGGAAATTAATGTAGAATGCGTTTTCGTAGATTCGTCGTTGCCATGCCACCGCGTTCGGGGCCATGCAACCTAAGTCCAGGCTGGGTTGTGCGCATCTTGAACCCGATTGAACTTCAGCTTGGGTTGCATGCGACAGCGCGTTCGACGGGCATTGTCGTCGTGCGCGCCCGCATTTCTTTTTTCGTTCGCACGTAACAACGAATTGTTCGTATGTTTTTCTCTTGCGTGCTTGTCCCGCGCCTTCAATGCGACAGCTTCAATGTTGGCCTGTTGTTGCGCTAGCACTTGCCGATGGCATTCTTTGGCGCCACACGCGCGCATTGCGCGGTGGCGAGCAGGCCCGCCATGAAAGTCAGGATCGAACGCAACATAGTACATGCATGCCCTTGCGCGCGCATGCGCGATGGACGCTGATTAGACCCCAACGTAAACCTTGGTGCTCGGCGTTAAATCGCAAAACCGCTAGGCACAGCCCAACGTAAACCTTGGTGCTCGGACCTCAAAAAGAGAGTTGGAGGAGCCGCCTAATCGTGATCATTTTGGCTCCAGCGTTTCCTTGCGTCGGCCCTAGCAGGGCCGCAGTTCGATTCAACCTCCAGTGTAGTGTAGTGCAGAGATGCCGAGGAAAAGCCTCCGCGGGAAGACAGAGTCCAAAAGTTACAAGATGAAGTACGGCCATACGATCGGACGGCGCGAGCTGGCGAGGACGCTGGCCGATGCGACAGGCAGCACCCAGGTCCTGGGAATCGCGATGCTCCAGGCTCTGGCGACCACCTTCCTGACAGAGCTCGCCTCTCGCAAGTGCATGCTCATCCCTGGGCTGGGCAGCTTCACCATCGAGGAGAAGCCAGCGCAGCCTGGCAAGATGTCTCCCGTGGGAGGCGTGTGGCGCGCCTGCAAACCAAAACCAGCAGAAGTTCGCGTGAAGTTCGTCGCTTTCGGAGACGTCGAGGCCGTCTTGGCAAGTGACCACGCGGCAAGCGTCGCGGCCGCCGCGGCAGCTGGATTGGCAGCTGCATCAGTACACGCAGCGCCACCGAGGCCGGCAGCGGGGGCAGCGCGGTCGCAGCCGCGCCACCGGCAGGCACCAGCGTCGCCAGACTCATCGTCGTCAGTGATGTCGCACGTTGACGCTGACGCAGCCCCCATTGCCGTCCAGCAGCCAGCCGCATCCATTGAAGACACTGCTGAGAAGCATGACGCTTGATGGTGGCAGTGGCACGTGTCACGTGTCAGTCTCAGGGACAGGCGCCAGCCAGCCAGCGTCGCGCCCTGTCGCAGTCCATGTCTTTTTCTTTAGGATGCCAGCAGCAGCAGCAGCATCCACCAGCAGTCCATATCTTTGTCTTTCAGATGCTAGCAGCAGCGTCCAGTCCCAGTCCATATCTTTCTCTTTAGGATGCCAGCTGCAGCAGCACCCAGTCTCTGGTCCATTCTTTAGGGCCACTCCATATCAGCCTTGGCCAGAATGTCGAGGCGGCGCTTGTGCCTTGTGTACATTAGCGTGTACGTGTCGCCCCCGTGCCTGGTAGCACGGACCTTTCGAGCAGCTCAGCCAGCTGCCCAGCCAGATCTGCGCGCCTGCGCGGGACGTACTGGTTAAAACAATGCCACCTTGAGCCAACTCGCTTTGAGGGGGGTGGGCTAGGAAGGAGAGGAGGATAAATGGGAGAAGGAGGAGGAGGAGGAGGAGGAGGAGCAGGAGGAGGGGGAGATGAAGAGGGATGATGAGGAGGTTGAGGAGGAGGAGGATGAGAAGGAGAGAGAGGATAGTAATGCAGAGGATGCGCACGAACGACCTGCCAACAGTATGATCTCCGAAGCCCCTTCACAAGGTCGGTGGACCCCGCCGTCTCCTTTTCCTTCTGCTCCTACTCCTGCCCCTGCTCCTCGTCCTCCTCCACCGCCTCTCCCTCATCATCGGCCACTTCCTCCCTCCTCCTCCTCCTCCTCCCTCTCCTGCCTTCTCCTCTCCCCTCCTGTCCTCCTCAACGCCCCCGTCGTTCTCATCGCCCTGACTTTGTTGTTGGTGCTGCTGCTACCGCTGCTGCTGTGAGCCCCGCATGTTATATTCTCATCATTCTCCCCCTTCCCCTTTGCTACTCTTCACCCTCGTCTTCCTCCTACTCCAACTCATCCTTATTCATCCTCCTCCTTCTTGTGTTTCGCCCTCCCCTCACGGTCTCCGTTTCCTCGTCCACCCCATTCGCATGCTGGTGTCAGAACGCCAGCGCTCCGTTACCGTAACCATTCGGCTCATCAGCGATTTCAGATCTTTCATCCGTTATCGCACGGGCTGTCCATTCGATGGCGCCGCCCATGAAGTCCAATAAAACACGCATCATATCCAATGAAGTGCCCGAGGAAGCACAAACCCAGCCGTTCGACTTAGGCGTTGACACGCTGAACATGAACCTTGGCGGCGGCGATTCGATAGATCAAGCTATGGTGTTTGTTGAGAGTTTGTCCGATTCGCAGGTGCCCGACATGGCCAACGTGGCGCCTCGTGAAGTGTTGCAGCATCGCCTCGCTTCTGAGAAGATGGCTCAGCAGGTTCAGAGTCGCGATCGCCCCGAGTCCTCGGCTGCAGCGCATTCAGCAGCCTCACATGGTGCAGCCTCCGAGCCGACAGCGGCCAAGAAGAGCTTCGCCGCCGAGGTCCAGGCGGTTCGGGAGGAGATGGCCAAAGCAGAGAAGTACAGCGCGGAGATCAAGGACTGCGCGGAGAGGCTCATCGGCAGGAGGCGTGCGGTCAGGACAGAGGCGCGCGAGACGCAAGCGCAGCCCGTGCCGCAGCCCGCAACCGCCGAGGCCCACAGTGCTGGCGGTCGGGGCGCTGCCGCAGCCGCTGTCACTCGCTCGCGGTCGCCGCCATCGCGGCCGCGCGTCGCCCAGGGGAGGATCACAGCAGCCAACCTTCACCTGTCGGCGAGCACCCAGTACAACTCTTGGGCAGACATCCCCGTGGGCGTTCAACAGGGCTTCATGGACAAGCTCGGCGAGAAGTTCCCTGTTCGGATCCACCACCTTCCCGAGGAGCAGACGACGTACAGGATTACGTTCGAGGTGGAGTGCTGCGATCGGTCTTCGTCTTCTAGGGTGCCGTCGTGATCTGCCAACGCACTGGAGATAGCAACCGTGAGCCCGCATCTGGTGGCTGATGAGCTCTTGTGCAGGTTCGGCTTCGTCGAGCCGAGGCTTTCTCTGCTTGCATCGTTTATGGCTGCGTCGTGCAATGACGCCTGGAGGCCATGCCAGGAAGCCGCGTCGGATGCGGCATGTCTTTCTTGTGGTTGGAAAGTGTGTACCATCTCCTGCCCATAACCCAAACGAGCCCTACCAGACAGAGCCTCCTCTTGGCCCAAACGATCCCTACCAGACAGCGCGGTCAACGAAACCAGTCAGACAGCACGGCGCGGCGCATTCCAAACAAAGGGGCAGGCCCCACCATGCAGCGCAGCACGCCTACCAGACAGCAAACCTCCAACACATCTCCAAACACCACCCGCCGACAGAAACCATACAAGCAGCTAACCTGAAGGCTTTGTCATATCGCGCAGCATACCGTGCCCGCCAAAGCTGGCCTTAAGTGTACGAAGCCCCTTACAGTCTACAGAGCACCTACCAGCAGCTAGCCCGACGGTCTTGAGAACAGTGCAGGGTGTAACCAATGAGGGTCCCAAGAAACAGAGCGAGGTGAGTACTCTGAAACACATGGCGAACAAACTGCATCGTGAGAAACCTTCCGACATCGCACATTTGGGTTCAAGCCTTTTTGGTGGCTCATCGGAGCCAGCGCCCAGTGCGCGAACCCTCTTCCTTCGCGTCGTCAGGGCTACATGTCAGTGGCGACATCGGCAGAGGATGAGATTTTCGGAGAGGAACCGTGCGACGGCTTCCCGTCCCATCAGTGCGGCCTGTGCGACGAGGACATTTCGAATGCAGACCCTGGCAAGAAGGAGTGGAAAGGCATGGTCCTTCACGGGCGTTGCTTCAACGCCGTGCGTGCGCACAACCACTGCATCGAGTCCGCCCCAGCCCACGTGGTCGAGCAAGTGAACTCCGACTTCGAGAACAACCGTGGCGCATGGCAAGAGCGAGTTCGGCCGTGGATCGATCCTTCAAAGAAGGCAAGGGACGGCGCCAGGGATGCTACCAAGAAGACTTTCTACGTGGTTGAACGGAAAGCGAAAGAAACAGAGAAGGAGATCGACGACGATATGAAGCTCACTCTGCTGGAGTATCAGGCGTACGAGGGCTTCTGGCACAGGAAGTCGGACGAGCAGTGCGAGCGGGAGTTCAGCAAGCTTCATGCGGATCAGAAGGGCAAGCACGATGAATATGTTTTCGAAGGCGGTGAGAGGAAGGTGATTCAGAAGATCGCTGTCCGCGACATCGGTCGCATCAGGAAGTCGAAGGGCGAGACCACGTCCCAGTCATCTTTCACCGTGGAGCAGACGTCATCGGAGCTCGATGCTGAGGTGAAGCGCAGGCGCCTGATGAAGAAGACTTCGGACCTGGAGGACCTCCGTGGAAGGACGCCGCAATCGCATATACCGACGGAGAGCCACTCAGCCGAACACTTCGTGACCCACGGCGACGCCCGCTCCAGGGGCAGCAGCGCCGACACTTTGGCAACCCCGACGCTCAACTTGGCCTCGTCGCCTCGCCAGTCGATGTGCGGTGGCACTGAGACCCCAGACCCAGCCAAGGAGCTCGCGAAGTCGAGGAAGGGGGCCATGTCGGAGAAGGGCGCCAAGGCGAAGCTCTTCAACCCGAAGGTGGGCATCAACATTGACGACGCCACCAGGGAGCGCGTGGTGCCTACGGCTGACGACATCGACAAGATGGAGCCCGTGGTTTTCATGGAACTGAAGCGGAGTTGGTCTGAAATGGCTATCCACGTTCACTCTGGATTCATGACTGCTGGGTCAGGTTTAGTCCACCAGCTCAAGAGCGCCAGCGCCACCGTGGGCACCCAGTCGCAGCAGGACCTCGACATGCCGACCGACGCCCTCGTAAATTCCATCACCCAGATGGCGCAGGGGATCAAGGATGATATCGACAGGATCGGTTCCGATTGCAACAAGGCCTCGTTCGGTGAAATTGTCCAGACGTTGCACACCAAGATGAACGCGATCGAGGCCACGAAGAAGTCAGTGTATACGCAGTTGGACGGCCTCCGCTATCTCTCCGAGAAGGGCGGCCACGGCAAGGCGGTCGAGTACATGAGCCACTACAACAAGCGCGTGAAGATACAGCGTAGGCTCCAGAAGGCAACCTTCGCGAAGGAGCTCGCAGACAACGTTTCTAGGACGGTCTATGCCATGAGGGGTGATGCCGAGAGAAGGTCGCTGATCAGCGAGGTCGAGAAGAGCAAGGGCGGAAAGCCCAAGAAGCCGCTACTGTTCAATGCCGAGGTGCCGAAGAACACCGACTTCGACCCGATGCAGGCCACCGTTTGGGATGACCAGGCATCCATGCCGCTCCAGGCGATCATCAAGATGATCGACGCCAACAGCAGCGCCATCGACGGAAAGGTGCATGTCCACGAGAACTCCTTTCAGGCGAGAGGGGCCAACTGGTTAGGCTGCCAGGGCCGCGTGACCAGCGACTGGGTGATCACAGATGCCGACGCCATCGATAGCATCTCGTGCCACGACTTCTGCAAGGGTGGCCTCACGCCGTGGCTCGTGACGGTCAAGGCGGACGCGCCGAGGTGGGGCCCGTCTTCGATGCCCTTGATGGGCCTCGCGTGCGCGATCGTGGCGAGGAGCGCGGACTGCTACGTGATGCTGCACGCGGCTTCGAGCATCACTTCTTGCGGGGTGTCGCTCAAGGACTACCTGAAGTTCGCCGAGACGGAGGAGGGAAGCAATTCCCTGAAGGAGAGCAGCATGGTGATGCTGCCGCAGGGGCACGTGCTCTACGTGCCGACTGGCATCTGCGCGATGCCGATCTTCATCCCGCACGAGCTGCCCGTCAAGGGCCTGGGCCTCGGACACTTCGTGGTGATCCCGATGCTGCGCGTGGACGCGGTGTCGAAGGCTGCGGGAACCAACTCCTCTCCTTCCTCCTCCTCCTCCTCCTACTCCTCCTCCCCCTCCTCCTCCTCCTCCTCCTCCCCCCTCCTTCTCCTCCTCCTCCTCATCCTCCTCCGCTTCCTCATCTCCCTCCCCTTGCCCTCTGCTGCTGCTCCTCCTCCTCCTCCTCCTCTTCCTCCCCCCGAGTCGGGGGGAGGATGAGGATCCAGACCAAGGGTGGGGCAACGAGGATCGAAGATGACCAGGGGACGATTGGTGATAGGAATGGAGGGGACGAGGAGGATGGCCA